GTCGGGCTCAAAGCTCTTCTTCACTAAAAAAGTATTACCTTTTGTTGAAAAAGTTCCTAAATTGAAATTTTTCGACTGTCTCTGATTTAAATTCAAAATAAAAAGATTATTATAGTTGAATAAAAGACCCGGGAGTACTGGTTGGATAGAGTGGACTTGCACTAGGCCAATGGAGAAAGAAACAGCAGTTTTCAGCTATGCCGAGGATGGGGGGTTCATCATCACGACATAAGACTAGGTAGGGCTTTAGTCGGCTGTTGAGAGTGCGTTGAGTAGTTGAGAGTACCATTTCTGCTGCAACTAGTGTATCCGGCTCCATTAGTAATGATATCCGATGGTGAAGCAGTAAGGTCCAACAGGACAGTGAGGAAAACAACCTATGCATGGCCAGTTTTCAGCTATCTGGGGAAGGGAGATCGTCATCACTACCAATGACCAATTGGATAGGGCTTCGTGGAGCTGAAAGCCAGTCGGCTTACTACAATGAGTGCTGTTGGGAATTCCCTGCAGCTAATGTATTCGGCTCCATTAGCGATGAGATCGGATGAGGAAGCAGGTTGGCCCCTGTTGATCTTGAACCACAGGGTGAAAGCAGTAAGGTCCAACAGGACAGTGGAGAGAGAAACCTATGTATATGGCTAATTTTCAGTTATGTATGGACAGAGGAGACGCATCATAGTGAACCAAGACCAAGTGGATTCGACTACGTATGACCGGTGATCCAACCGTATATCACCAGATCTGGGAGCAATGTGGGTGGACAGTGGATACATAGATTTGATTTATAATAATATGTTTCACCCCTAGACCAGGCTAGCCTACTCCCCTTACACCAAGAAGTTTTCAGATATCCTGGAATCTGCAGGTGTGGGCAAAGGGGTTCATCATCGCGGTTCAAGGCCAACATGTGCCATAAGCAGGATAGTTGGTACGCACCCAGCAATGGCATCAGAAAATGAATATACTGGAGTCTGTCGGATCACAGGGCAAGGTAGAGAGAAACCTATAAAAGGCCAATTCCCAGCTAAGCCAAAGGTGGAGGCCTATCGAATTGATTGATGATAAAGTAGTTCTGACCTGGGTGCTTGATCAACAGAAACAATACGTCACCTCATTTTTGGTTGGGCAAAGGCCTAAGGATTAGGAGGGAAGACATGTCCTAGGATGATCCTGGATTCCGTGTCGGACCGTGTGTGAGGTAAGTCGATCCAACGATTTATTGACTTTCTAGGAGACAATAAACTCGTCGACGAGTTGTCACCCAAAGGAAGCCGCCAACAGAAGCTACAAGTGATAATATTCTCTCAATAGCTCATACTCATCACTCACTCTGGCTGTCCGGGGCCCCACGCTCCGTGCCGTCTACCAACATCGACCGCAACCATCCTCATCCACACCCACCAAAGGGCAGTGGGTACGCCACATTTCTCAGGTCACTGCCCTCAGCCATTAAAGATCCTTCAAAGGGTAGTGACTTCAGCAATGGTTCGCCTTCCAGGCAGCAGCAACTTTGCACCCTGCATAAAAGCAGGGTCAACCTCCTTAGTAGTTAAGGCAGATTCGTCGAAGAGTTCTGGTCACCTAGCTACAGCAGAAAGGGTATTCTCAACAGCATTCATTCTTCGCACTCTCCCTGACGCGGCTGTCTACTGCATGAGCTAAAAACTAGCCATATGCGTATGTTTCTCTCTCCACTGTTTTGTCGGATCCTAGTGCATTCATCCTGTGGTTCAAGACCGACAGGACGCCAACCTGCTTCATCTTCAGATTTCATCATTAATGGATACACAAGCTACAGGGTACTCTAAACAGAACTCATCACACTGTCAACAGCTGACGTGGCTTTCAGCGCCTCGAGGCCATACAGATGACCTCTCGATTCGTCCTTGATAAGAAAGGTGATTCAGAAGATGTTTCTGTACTCCCGAGAAAAGAGATTTCCAACATGATTTAACTTGTTAGATGTCCTCTTGGAGTCTGCAGGCCAGAGAACCTGTACTTTGGTAATTTCCGATCATTATTGATCGTTCTACGATTTTTTTTGGTCTGTCAGGAGCTATTCGGTTTCTCATGCAAGAAACACAGAAGATGGGGAGGAGCCTGAACGCCAACAGACCAAAAAACCGATAGACAAACCAAATTGGAAACCGACCGAGCTCCATGCTTTTCTTCTAAAAGGCAAAAAATGTTCAGGGTGTCTAAGATTTAACCCGGAAACCTTCCAGCGATGAGACGCCGTCTCACTTTAAACGCTGCAGCCACCGGCCTGGTCGAAAAATGTTTTACTCTACCACTTGTTCATTAGTCCTTTTTAAGTTTTTTAATCAATGATAGTTAAATTTTATTAGAGGCAAAGTCCCCGATGGTAAATCGCCAAAAACCGCCGAGTAGATGGAGCGAGATAAGACTCATACGCGTGAGAGAAAGAAAAAAGAAGAAAGAATACGAACGATTAATGAAATATGAAGCGGGTTCGGACCTAAAGGTGGGGTTGAAAGAAATTGTCAAAAGTGATAAGACAATTGGGTAGGAAACCCTTGCTAATGGATGTGTAGGCTATCTAAATGTGAGCCGAGATAGCCTCGATGAGACTACCGCAAACATTAGCCAGCATTTAGCTGCCTTTCTTACCCTCATTCCCTTATCACAATCTCTATTATCTACCTTTAGCCACCTCTTACCATTTCCCCAGATATTTATTGCTGTTCTTAACAACTATTTAGCGGCCACCTTTTTCCCGCTGCATTTCCACAAGTAATACTTAACACTTAGGTCTTAACGCGACGCGCGATATCGTGAATGGGGGATTTTTTTTGTGAAACTTGAAACCCCATCAAATGTGAAACTCTCGGGCTAGGAGAGTGAATATGTTTTCATATTAAATTATATTAGTTAATTAAAATGATATCAGTCTCATTAAGTACTAATTTTCGAGAGAACAGAACTTTTCCACAATACTGTAAACTATTATCAAATGCTGGAGAAACATACTGGGACAAACAGAAAACCTGATGGTTTTTTTTACCAAAGCTTTTTAAGGCCAAGTGAAAAATCAACCTTAAAATTTTTTTTTTTGGATTGTTTTAACTATTTTTATAATCATCTAACTTTCCATTTGAAACAGCCATAATGGAATTTTTGATATATTCCTTTTTAATCCTTTTCTGTCCCAATGGTTAATGTTGTCTCACACCGACAACAATTTTGTTAAAGGTGAGGCAACATTTATTTATTTGGCGTCAATCTTCAATCTTCATCTTGGAATTTCAATCTCTCAACTTACTACAATCTCCCCAGGAAACGTGCCAACCCCCTCAAGCAAAAAATCTTCAAATAGTGTCACCTCTTTTTGTATCTCGTTCTTCATCCTTTCTGGCCCAATTTTGCCTCAGGGCAACACCAACATGAGCAATTTTGAAAGAAGTAGAGGAAAATCCAAGCAATTTTCAGCGGGTGCATTGTTGCCCCGCATTGTTTCCGCCTGAGTATTGGTCAAAATGATTTTTTGGGGCCAATTTTCGATCTCCATCTTGGTAATCTTCACCTACTACAACCTCCTCAGGAAACGGGCCTCCCTCAGATATCAACTTGACTCCATTCACAATTTTTTAAAAGGTTAGCGGGAAATTCTGTTCGTTAAGGTGTTGCCCCTTCTGTGTTTCTCCTGTGTGTTGGCAACACTAATCACTTTGGCGCGAAAATAAAATCTCCATCTTGGAATCTTCAGTACTACAACCTCACACATCGGGCAAAAGGTCTAGGAACAGCGTCTACTTTATTGAAAACGTGTTATTAACGTTGAGTATCGTACCGGCCTTTCGATGATAAATACTAAAAAACTAGGTGATCAGGGATAAGGCCATATCCTCATGTCCTCACCATGGCTTCATCCCTGATCTCCCTGTTTATAAAATGTTATTAAATCTTTCTCGCTCAGCGTCACCACAGCATCACACATTTTAGCAATTTGGTTGAAGGTTAAGTCCCGTGAGATTGAGCGGTGTTGCCCCTTTAGTGTTTTTGGCAATCTGTTGCAACATTGAATTTTTGTTGCCAATCTAAGATCACATCTTGGAATCTCCAATCTTCATACCGGACTCTTCAATCTCCATCTTGGAATCTTCAGGCCCAATGTTGTCTGTCTTAGAGAATTTTACAATTTTGTTTGAATTATCGGGAAAGTTTGTAAGTTATTGGTAACACTGAATTTTTTGGCGCCAATTTAAATTCTCCATCTTAGATTCTTCATTGTTCAACATAGCACTTTACATGAACAGGGGTGAGATTTATTGTAATTGCTAGTTATTATGCAGACAAATGATTCTTTTTTTTATGTATTCTATGTAAATCATCGAGATCTGAATTCATCACTAAATGCAAGTTTGACGGCCGTGGTAACTATCCAAGTTTATTCTAGAGTGTTACAAAATACCACTCGAGATAAAAGTGACCTGGAATTTTGTTTATTTTTCTCTGTATTATGTACATTAATTTAATTTTGTCAATTTTAAGTTATAACAATCAAGCTGTTTTGTACAAAAAAGCGTCAATTTTCTCTTTTAAACTGACACCCATGATTACTTAAAATACTTTTGCTCTAGCTTCTAGGACCCATTGGCAAGAATAACCGGTCACTTGTTCATTTTTCGACCTAGTATTACCAAAAAAAGTTTCATCAGTGGAAAAGTTTGCTTCGCCTTGTCAGCAGTTTATTCTAATTGAGGGCTTATCCGTCCCTACAGTCAAGTCCTGTCTCTCTTGATATATGATGTCAATCGTAAAAAGTTTATTATTTCCAAATACCTTTCTACGCGTATAAATATATTCCAACGATGTTATAAAAACGTCCCTGCGAATTAGCAGCTGAGAGATTAGAGCGGTACAATTATAGAGCAATTGTTCCACTTCAAAAGATAAAGAAAATTGTTCCAGCATTTAAAGCAACTTCACAAAACAATGTTAATAGTTTGTTTTGATTTTTCGTTTGCTTTGGTTTTTACCTTGGTTCGCTCTCGAGTTGCCCCTGTCCGTTATGTTGTCGCACAATCCGCTCAGCACCTCTGCAACATTACAGAAGTTTATCAACAACTGCTTTTGCAACTTTTTTTTGTCAGGCTTTTTGTGACCGGTTCCACTGGCAAGTTTTCTAATGTTCAAAACGAATCGATGTAATTCACGTATTCAACTGTCTCAGCAACCGGCAAATTATATGCGACATTTTTTAACAAGTAAATCATACGCTTAAAGTAAATTTCTTTCGGATATGTAACAAGCTACTCTTAAAATGAAATCAAATGTTCAAATCATTTTCAAAAATTTATACTCGAGCTTGTTTTGGTCAAGTACTTCAGTTTTTCAAAAACACACCGTAGTACCCTTTCGTTTCTTAAAGCTGTTAATGAGAAAACTTTACAATCGATAATTAAGAAGATTTCCAGATGTACAATTTAACCAAGTTTTCCCCAGGACGAAAAATGACGACCAGGAAACGATGCTAAACTCACTCAATATTTGACAAAATGTTTATTATTAATTAAAAATAAGTAAAATCGGGTCGATCGAAGGAACAAAAAACCCTTTTGGTGTAAGACGTTTTTTTCGTTAGAAAAACGTCCAAATGGTGGCAGGGTGTGATAAATAAAATCTACTCATTCTGCTTTTCATCCCGAATTCTTAATAGCAACGCTTTCAAAAGTGGAACGTCCATGCTGTCTTATTCTAGAAACAACCCTTTCTGGCCCAGAATGAGACTGATTTGAACAATTTTATTAACGTTTAGCGGGAAATCCCGTGAGTTTTTCCTTCAGAAGAGTTGCTCCTTCAATGTTTCTGTCAGGTGTATTGGCAACAGTGATTTGTTTGGCGCCAATTTGAAATCTCCATCTTGGAAATCCCTTGAAACGTGCCTTTCCCCTTCATGTAAAAATTGTTCAAATAGCGTCAACCTTTTTAAAACAGGTTATTAAGCCTTTCTAGTACAATTTTGCATCAGAGCAACATCAAGTTGAGCAATTTTGATAAAAGTTAAAAAGAAATTTGGTGAGTAGGGCGAGTGAAGTGTTGACCCTTCAGAGTTCCTCCAGGGTTTTGGCAACACTGAATGTTTTTGCGCCAATTTAAAATCTCCATCTTGGAGTCTTCAATCTCCCTCTTGGAAACTGCAACCTCCAACTTTTTTCCAAGTTTTTAATTTTTTTAAATATAATTGCTAAGCTGTTATGCAGGCAAATGATTATGTACCAAATCCTTTTTAAAAATCAGGCGAACACCAATTTCTATTAACGTTGATTGAATAAAAAAGGTTTCTTGATGCTTGGCGTCCACGTGGGCGCCTCTCTACCTCAGTAAACAAGTAAAGAAAATATAAGAACAATATTCAATCCATTTTTCATGTAGTGGGTAGAAAGGTTTAATCTATTTGGAAAACAATTACGTTTCTACTATTAAACAATAAATAGTCGTTTTGAATAACAATACATTTTATCCCGGCGAAAGCATTTTTTTTTAATTGCTAAACCTTTATTTTCTGGTTAGTTTCTATACATGTTATGCCCTATGCTTACCTGATTAGGAAGGTGAATAATTCTGATGTCCCGGTGAAAAGTGGGTCAAATCAAAATTGTGAAAATCTAGTTATTCTCCGTTTAGATTTTGTACTTATTCATTCCAGGCCCATCCGGGAAACAAACAATACCGAGAACGAATAAAATGTAGCAAGATCATTGATTGAAACGGCCCCTGCGACTTCGGGGCGTTACGCGGAAAGAGCAACAATAATAAACGACCGGACAGCGTTTTCTTCCGCCGCACTACCGTTAACCGGAAACTGTTAAATAACGCAATAAAAATCCAAACGAGAGATTCTAACTAAAAACCTGATAGAAAAAGTAAGAAATAACATCCAACAAAATGCCATGTAAACAGAATAGTAAATTTTAGAAGGAATGAATTATGACAAAAAATGATCATGTAGAAAACTGACAGGCAAAAAATTCCACCCACTTGTAATATAACATGATTTGTATATATTTTTATATATCAACCTTTCACGTTTCACGTTTTTTAACGTATAATAATTGAATCTTCGTCTCAAAAGGTAAATTGCTAAGGAAAAAAATAAGAGACGGACAGATAAAATTTGTTTTTGATTTGTAATTAACTTCGAATTCACTAATTTCGTGGTCCGCTTGACCAATTAATACATTACAATTAATTAAGGTTTTTAGTTGAGATGAAAAAAAGTCAATGGCACGAGCGGGATTCGAACCCACGATCTTCGGCTGGATACGCCGCTGCTCTACCAATTGAGCTATCGTGACCTCGATCCACTCGGACATCAACTTCCCATCTCAACCCTTTTCGAATTTTCACTCCTTTTTGCCATTTTTCGAAAAGGTGAAAAGAAAAATGTAGCCGAAGGTCTTGGGTTCGAATCCCGCTCGTGACTCTGACTTTTTTATCTCAACCAAAACCTTAATTAAGGGTTTTATTGATGATTAAAAATAGTATAATTAAAACATATAAAGAAATCGTTGAAACTGTAAAATAATCTTAATGTTAAAAGACAACATTATTAAAAAAAACTATGCATAAACAATATTATAATTAAGAATGTTATTAAAAAATTTTAAAAAAGAAATGTAACTAAAATAATTCACGAACACTCTAGATCTAAGAAGAAGAAAAATAACTTTATTCTGGGACTGGTGTCCGTCCCCTAAGAATAATTTACATGAACTAAATAAAGGAAGTTCCTTCTATGAAGTTAAAAGTAAAAAAAAAAGATAGAAATCTTGGCACAATGTATACCAATAAGGCAGGACAGAAGAAAAAATGACGAGAATATTTAAAACAAATGTTAACGTGAGGTCTCTGCTTGGAGGGAGAGGAGGTGATTATACAGGTGGGATTTAAAGGAGGAAAAGGAGGCAGCGGACGAATAAAGGGGAAGGGAGTTCCCGAGTTTAGGGGCTCGGATCAGAAAGGATCTTCCGAAGGTATGGGTTGTATGTTGCGGAAGGATAAGATCGTTTGGGGATGAGCGGGTCTTACGAGTGAGATGTGAGGAGTTGAATTGGAGGGATTGGATGATGTAAGGAGGACGACGAGTGTGGATGGACTGGAAAAAAAAAAGGAACCTAGGAAATACTGTGCACGGAAGGAGGGGAATAGCCAGGAAAGTTGGGAATACAACCCCGACACCCAGGATCCCCGTGGGCTGCCGTACACAAATCTTACGCAACAATTCATAATACGCTTCAATCGCGCGTTCTCCCCCTCCGAGAGACCACCGTATACCAAACAGCTATATTCGAAGGAGGGAAGTATAAGGGAAGATACAAGGAGTTTGCGGGTGGAGAAAGGTAAGAGAAGCCAGGACCGACGAAACAGGCTGAGGGAGGCAATGGAATGGCGGGAAATGTGAGAATGCCAGGAAAGGTTTTGGTCAAAGACTACTCCTAGGTTTTTAACCGAAGAGCAGAAGGGGATGGGATGGTTATTTAGCATGAGAGGTGGGATGCAGGGGAGGGAATTGAGGAGTTGCCTGGACCCGATAATTATGGCGGTGGATTTGGACGGATTGAGGACTAGGGAATTTTTATGGGCCCATTCGTTGATGGAGTTCAGGTCTTTTTGGATCTTGAGAATGGCCGAATGAAGATCGGAAGGGTGGAAGGATATGTAAATTTGGGAGTCATCGGCATATAGGTGATAGTTACAGGACTGGATGGAGTCGGGCAGATCATTGATATAAATGGAAAAAAGGATAGGAGAGATGCTAGAGCCTTGGGGCACCCCAGATTTTAGAGGGAGGAAGGAGGAGGTAAGGCGATTGGTAAGGTAGGAGTGGAACCAACAGATGGTGCTGGCGGAGAAGGAAAATGATTCGAGTTTAGAGAGGAGAGAAGAGTGAGAGACAGAATCGAAGGCTTTAGAAAAATCAAGAAGAACAAGCATAGTAACTTTCCGTTGGTCCATTGCTAAGTGGAGGCCACTGGTAATTTTTATTAGTGCTGATTGGGTGGAATAACCTTGGCGGAAGCCAGATTGGAGGGGGTTGAGAAGACTCTTCAAGGTGCCTGGAGACTTGTGCTTGGACTAATTTTTCTAGGGGCTTGGACAGGTTTGAGAGGATGGAAATGGGAGGTAGTCTGAAGGGGAGGATGGGTTGGGGGTTTTATTGAAAGGGTGGACAAGAGCTTTTTGCCAGGCTGTCGGAAAAACAGAGTTTTGGAGTGAGTAGTTATAGATGTGAAGTAGAACAGGTAGTAATATTGGGAGGCAGAATTTAAGAAAATGGATAGGGATGCCATCAACTCCAATGGCATTAGAGTGGGATTTGGTTATGGCCTCGAGGACTTCGGCTGGGGTTAGATAGGAGAAATAGAAGTTAGACGAACTGAATGAGATCTAGGTACGGTCTTGAAGAAAAAAGCAAATTCAGTTGTAACTGCCTAGCTTTCGACCTATTTTAAGGTCATCATCAGCCTATGGTAATTTGAAATTACGAGAAACATATTTGTACAATAGATTTAACCATGTTTTTCATATTGTGAACATTTTACTCCGGTACAGCACGAAATCCTTCACTAAACAAGAAAAAACTGACGTAACACGAAATGTGCCACATTTCCTGATAAATACTCACACCTATTCTTGAAAACTCGATACACGACTATGATACGCCACTTTTCGTGAATGGTGATAGTACGTTACCGCCAATTCAAAAGTGACACATAATGCTGCCTAGCAGATCTACAGTTATGTCATTTTCCCTGTAGTATCACCCACGCGAATACTTAAAAAAAAAACACTAAATAATCCGTTTTTTATAATTTTTCGACTTGCGTCATTTTTCATATGGGTGTGCGTATTGTCGTGTAAGCGCCTTTTCCGATTGACCAAAGGTGGCTTCAATAATGCCAATTTCTCATGCATTCAGTTCAAGAGCTGTACATTCCTGCATTGGTTGTTTCGCCAGAGTTCACGAAGCTGCAGTAAATCAGCCCAAATGAAGCCCACCAAAGAGTCACCATCACCTTTTTTTGTAGAGTTGGGAGACTTTGGAAAATGCGGAGCTGCTTCTCCTTGTCCAGAACGTCTGGTGTTATCGTAGTCCAGTTTTCATCACAAGTAACAAATCTATCCAGGAAAGGTTCGTTTCTGTTTCGGCAAAGAAGTGTTGCGCAACTTCATAACGATGATTTTGTTGGGGTACTTTCGAACTTTTTCACCTTTCTAATTGCCTTAAGATGGTCAGCGATGGTTGATATGCTTGCTGTGCCAGTTCTCGAACAGTTGCTCTGGGATTTTCTTCGTCCAAAACTCGCAAAACATCACCATCTAGGGAAGAAATCCATCCACGACTTTCTTTGTCTTCAAGGCTAAAATCCCCTTTCGAAATTTTTTAAACCATCTCTGAACGGTGATCTTACTCACACTGCCATCGCCCCAGATCTTATGGACACCGTTTCAAGAAAGTTTAAACTCGTAAGACGAAATTACACGAAAATCACGCATTGACATCTTAGTAAAGACTGAATTACCAAAGTGATGAAACGCTACTGAGGCAAACAAACATTTTTGAGAGGAAGAGGATTGAAGAATGTTGACATTCGTACAAAAGAATTATCAATCAAACGTAAACAATTTAATATATAGAAGGGTAATTGAAAGAAAGCATTAAAACCTGCATTATTTTCCGGACAACCCAATAATTCAGACTGGTTTTGCTTTTTTATTTGATATAGTACGGTACGAAATATGTGGAACAGAAATAGATAGAATTAAAAATTCAGGAATTTCCAGTACTTTAAAGGGTTTGTGTTGAGCGCGACGGCATATATGAAAATGCTGGATGGTTCTCGCAAGGTTCAAAAAGTTTCGGCAGAAGGATATTTCAACCTTGCATCCCATTACGATTGCTATTCGGTTTTGCTGAGGTTTTTACACAGCCGAAGGTCGTGGGTTCGAATCCCGCTCGTGAAACTGACTTTTTTATCACAACTAAAATCCTTAAATTAATTGAAAGATTTTAATTGGTCAAGCGGACCACGAAAAGTAGTGAATTTTTACACAAAGTTATCATCAACGTGAAACAAGAGCATATTGATACGGTCCAGAAGAGATGAGAATTCTTAAATTTCCACAGTCCTATCGGAATCATTTATATATGCTTTTTTTAACGAGGGTTCACAACAGCAGAGGCCATATAAACCCTCAGGGTGCCGGTGTTTTTGAAAAAAAAAAAAAAACATTTGTAAGTATGCCGGATTCGAATGCAGGACCGCTGGATTCGAACCCGGGACCTTACAGTGATGGGAGCCGTGTCAACGCCTAAACCGTTGCGGCCACCGACGCCCTATCGGAATTATTATAGATAGAATTATAAAATATAATCCTTTAACGAATATCGTCCGTAGAATGGTATAAATTTACAGTACATTTCGATTCATTCGCAATCATGGCTTCGAACAGAGCGTGCGTCGTTGAAATTCAATGCTTTGTGACATCATGAATGCATTTGTTGTAAAAGAATTGCCAATTATACATTTGGTTCACTAATCATTGATTATACTCAAAATTTATGTTCAGAATTGTTTTCGGGCGTAAAATAAGAAAATCAACTTCAAAAGTATTTTAACCTAGTTTACTCCGTCGCTCGGAGTAAATTCAAAATTGTATTTGGCATCTTCTTGCTTTTATCCAAATTCAACGTTATGATATATGATTATATGGATAAGGTTTGGATTTTATGTCTTACAAGTGCGAAAAATAAGGAGGAAATAAACAAAAACTCCTGATAAACGAAAAGACGTTATCAGTAAAATAGGCAAATAAAATTTATTTTTGAGCAAATTGGTTCGGAGTCGTTTTACTCCTCCTTTTGAGCCATTACATTCGACTTTTTATGGTAAACAAAAATAGACCTTTTATACTGGAATAGTGCAATTTTTTCAGATGACAGGTTTTTTTATTTAAGAAGTGCAGAACTCTACTGAATTTAATCCAAAATCAACGTTTTTAAAATCATTAAGAAGCTCATTTGTTATACTTTATGATTATATGAATAAGGTTTGGATTTTAATCGTTACAAGTGCGAAAAATAAAAAGGAAATAAACAAAAACATCGCAAAAACGAAGCAAAAAAGGCGAATAAAATTTATTTTTGAGAAAATTAATTCGTTTAGTTTAGTTTCTTAAGATGTCAGGTTTTTTTAATGCATAACTTCTCTGGATTTTATCCAAATTCAACATTATTACAATCAATAAGGAGCTTATCTGTGCTACTTCATGATTTTATTGGGAAGTTTTGGATTTTTGTCATTACGTAAAAAGGGGGTGAAAAAACTCCTCAAAAATGAAAAGACGTTATGAATAAAGCAGGACAAAAAAACTTTTTAAAGAAAAGCAATAAGGATTCGTTTTAAGCATAATTTAGAGCCTCTAAATACGAATTTCTACAGCGCACAAAAAATTTTTGTGCTGGATTTAGAAACGGGCAATTTTATATCATAGATGTGAGGTTCCACCTTCGAAATTCATAAGACCTCTGGATTTTAGCCAAATCCAACTTTTAATCATTGGAAAGCTTTTAGTTTTTTTAAGTTTTTAAAGGAAATTTTCGTGTTATTTTAAGTAAAAAAATAAGAATAAAATCAACAAAACTCTCCAAATGTTGTATTTCATTGTTCCTAACTCTAATTTATTAATGGTTTTCGTTGATTTTCTACAAAAAATCCTAAACACCTGGAAGACGAAAAATATTTTTTGATTTTACTTAAAATTAGTATTCGGGGTTGTTTTGGGGTGTAAAAACACATATTTACTTTGTACTTTTATTAAAAAATATTTTCACCTACGTTGCTCGGTTTACTACGTCAAAATTGTATTAGGGAGCTGCCAATATTCCACTTACAAAAATTCATACCTCCTTTGGGTTTTATCAAAAATGCAAGGATATTACAATCGACAGAAAGCTGTATTTCTCTTCTTTTTGGGCGATGCCAAAAAGTTTAAATTTGTGTCATTATAAGTGAAAAAACAGTTGAAATCAACAAAAACTCCCCAAAAAACGAAAAGACGCTATGAGTAAAGTAGGCAAAAAAACATTTTTTTTGAGCATTTTTGAGCAATAAGGATTCGTTTTCTGCAACATTTAGAGCCTCTAAATAAGAACTGTTATAGAAAACAAAAATAAACATTTTTGTACTGGTTCTGGAAGGGGGCTATTTTTTACAACTCAGATGTCATGTGAACGACTTCAAAAATTCATAACTCCTGGATTTTATCCTAAATAAATGTCATTACAATAATTTAAAACCTGAATTGCCCTAATTTAAGACTGTACCAACAAGGTTTAAATTTTCTATCATGATAAGTGAAAAAACGCAGGTGAAAAAAAAATCCCTGGAACGATTTATTTTATATCTCCGATTCTGATTTTCACAGGGGTAGGTCTTGTCTCTTCGCCCCTTTTTGAACAATTTATTTATACTGGCGATGTCGTTTTATTAGCAGACCACCCATGAACCTTACAAGAGAGGAGGCTAGATACACACTTGGACTGTCTTCTTTCGATCTATTATCATAGAAAAAGGTCAGTTACCACTTCCTTTGGATATTTTCGTCAAATTTCTTTCTGAGGTGTCCTCTACAGTCCGGTTCCGACCAATTCGGTCCACTCTAGCTGGTGAAGTCTATCAAATTCACCACTTGTATAATCAACTTATTTTTTCTTCGAACAATTCAAAATCTCCCAGTTTTCAAGAAAATGTCCCGTGAAAAGGTTTCCCGTAAACATACGTCAATACCCTTTTTTTACAATCGGTCAACGCGAGGAGCGCTTCTGACGCATTGATCCAGCCCACATAATATTTTTCAAACAAAAACTCTTTTACACGAGTATTTTTCTTTAGAAACTATAAACTCGCTTGATCAAAAACCTACTCGTATTAAACGACTTGTGATATGTTTCTGGATGAAATGATATCAACAAAGCTCATGTAAAAGAGTTTTTGGTTGAAAAAATATTATGTTGGCCAACTTCCTTCAATGCGCCAACAGCGCTCCTCGTGTCGACCAAATGTGTTAATGTTTTGTAGTAATTAACGTACAGGTTAGACAGTATGGTTTGATCCTTTGTTTGTACCTTGCGTAGTAGTATCTTCAGTAACTTGGGCTTCGCCTTTCCGAAAATAAAGTTACCTAAGCAAAAAATTTTAAGGGTAGGGATAGTAGCTCTGATTTAAGAAGATATCATCTGTGAAACGTAGACATATGTGACACAGACCCATCACTGAAGATGGCGGGATGCCGAAACCCAGGACAAACCAGGGAGGATAGTCAGATCAAAATAAACTGAAAACAATCAACCTTTAAGAATTACAATTTCAATTTATTTCAATATTTAGATCACCTTTCGTACTGTGAAAGTCTAAAAAAGATTGGTTCAACTGGAGAATGTGTTTGGTTTGTTTAATGAACTGCTAACTAGAGTTTTAACGAATGGAAAAGTTTGTTAATTAGTTATTTGCTCAAAATCGATTTAGAGTTAAGCTACGTGACAAGTTAAATTTTAGAAGAAAAGAAATCAATCTATCACAACAAAAACTGTTAATCCGAATTTTTTCCAGCAATCTCTTTGCGGCTGAATATCTGAAGCAATGTCATACCGGATGCATAATGGAAAAATATCTAATTGTTTATTAGTGCCTCTAGGAAAAGTTCAATTGGCTAGTTACCATGACTGTTGATGAAGTTGGCCAGGTAGAGGTCGAGCTCTCTGACGGACACGTTGATGTGGTACGGGTTGACGCAGAGGTTGGGGTGGGCGCACTCGGCAGCCTTTTCTAGCCTCTCGCCGTCTGTGCTTTCCAGGGGTATCGCCTTGAAAAGAATGACCATCACGAGGTCCAGCCTCCAAACCTGGAAACAGACGAAGAGCCGTGTTGAATAAGAGACACAGAGAATTATCTAGCAAATGTTATGTAACAACAGTTAACCCTGGCACTCAATGTAAGGATTAAGGGGCGAGTATGTCTCGTGGTCAAAGTGAGAAATTGTAGAATGAACTGGATAGCAAGACCTAGGATGAGTCGACAGGTTGGGTGACAGAAAGAAGTAGTGAGTTCGTTGTAAAGTTAATGACGTACTAAGGAGCTTCGATAATTTGTCTGAGGACTTATTTATTAAGTCGTGCGTAACTCCATGGTGTTGATTTACAATGGAGAACAAGACTGCTCGCATAATTAACCTTTTCCATCAGTCTTGGATAAACTCTAGGTGTTCCTAGAGGTGGAAAATTGCTTGGATAGGACTCACATTAAAAGAAGATTGCCGTGTGATCCGCGTAGGTGGCGGATGGATAGAAAAGTCGGCACTGTAGTATACAGTATGAGAGTTAGAATGGTTCCGTGTGGGACGCCGGACTGTAATGGTCCGAACGGATCAATCACCCCACCCGGAGGTGTCAAGGTTATCGTCGTTAATGGTGACGTGGAGGGTTCTCCTGATGGGAAAGTCTTGGTAAGGCTTGGGGATAGGTTCACCTCAGATAAAAGAAATCTTGAAGTCATAGTGTGTACCATATAAGAGACCATATAAGATATATCTTATCAACTGCATCTCGTAAATTATTAATCCTATGAAAGTTGAATTGTAGTAATATATTGGGCTTGGCAACTATTAAAAATTAAAATTGTGATTTTATAAACATAGCCAGTTTTTGTCCTGTGCGATAGGATCGATGACCGTTTTATGGATCATGGATCGGTATCCGTCCGGCCGTTTCTGATCCTATTGTCCTGTTACCTTGTCCTTATCCTTGGCTATTACATCAGCCTCTTCGTTATATACCCTGTGTGACTGTCATGCATGCCCAGCTTCTCTAAAAAGACTGTGATAATGGTTAAAGATTATCAGGGTGCCCCAGATGATGAAGGATCAGCCGGAAGGAATCAATTTTGTCTATGCTATTACCTTCTACCCCACATTAGGGGAGGCTCTTTGCTTCAACTAACATTAACAGATGTCTACTCGTTATGCCATTATCATCAAAATAGTTATAATTTTAACATATAAACAAAGATATCTCTTTTATTATGCTGTCTTTTGTACGTATAGAATCTACTACCGAATTTTTGGTGTACAAATGTACACTAGTAACTATGCCAAATAACTAATTTATTATCCGTACATGGAGATATTTTTTATAATATTTACAGCTTCCTCTGTCACTGACCAGTGGTAAGGATTTATCAGAAAATTTATGAATCCTCGTTATTCTTAAACGATCGTAAATTTTCTCTTATGCTTTCTAGAGTTTTTGTAACTTTTATACAATATTTTTATTTTTTACTACTTCTTTTCAAAAATTATTGTTATTAGGTTATTAACGTTTATCTTAGGAAAATAAACGGTTAGGTTAGTATGAGGTGACTACAAAACCTGTCATTCCTCAGTTCACTATGCAACTTTAGGTTTTTTATTAGCCTTCATGGCCTAGGAGTAGCATAAATGCACTGACTACTCTACTTCATGGGAAAACCTTGAGTCTGCAATGTGTTTGTAAGTTTAGGCGAGACTTTATTGACGTCTTTTTTTTTGTCTGTGTTGTTCCACCAGTACAATAATTTTTATTTTTTGCCAATTCGGAATTTTACAATTCTGGTCTTACTGATCTTTTGACACCCTTGGCTATTCCATCAGCCTCTTCGTTATGCACCCTGTAAGGCTGTCATGCATGCCCTCTCTAAAAAGACTGGTAATGCTTAAAGATTATCAGGGTGCCCTAGATGATGAAGGATCAGCCGGAAAGAATCAACGTGGTGTTGTATAGGTAGGTCTGTCCTCGAAGTATGGGATGCTAACGATCCAGCTTTAGACATTTAATTAACCTTTAAAGCCTGGATAGTCCTCACGTGACTGTATTCATTTGTGTAGATAACTTTTCCTTCTCGGTCATTCACAGTATCAATGGCTTTTCTTGGCAGAACCTACGTGGGGTGTTTTCTATCACTATTTTTAAGTGTGTATTGAGTCCCCGATACTGTGATGTTGTTCCATAAGTAACATGATGGTTTTTTGGCAGGTTGGACATTTACAAAAGAGTTCTGGTAACACTGATGGAACTGATGACCCCTCAACTGGCGGGTCTTTATTACCCTTTAAATCCCGTGTGACCTGCGACTTGGATAAGAGAAAGTTCTTTATTGCTACTTCTCCCAGTTCACTCAGGCAGTCCCATACGATGGTTTACTCCTGATGAGACCCATGCTTTGAGCCCAGCTCGGCTATCAGAATGTATACCTTCCCAACCTCTTTATCTCTTTTGCGCAAAACTTAACTGAACATTTTTCGAGGGAATTACTTCCACAAATAATCTTCAGTGCCCGGTTTGGTTTTTGATCCTTTTTTACAAAAGTTTGGACTTATATGGAAGGGTTAGAGGGTTCTGATCTGTCTGGTGATGCTGAGACCCTGTCTTGTCTACCTATTCGTTGCCATTCTGTCCTGTGGTTTTTAAAATCGTTTATTACGCTTTAATACACAATGTTAATTAATACACATTATTACAGTGTTATTCACTTTCAGTAACTAACAAGTTGTAATCTCCACAGTTGTTTTTCACCAGTGATGACTAGATCGACATGTCTTTTTGATCTAATGACACATTCCAGGCCTTCGAGTCACAAATAAGGTCGTCTATTACACTTTAATACAACTAACACGTTATAACCCCCCCCCCCCGTGTTATTTTTTGCCGGTGATATCTAGATCGAAATGCCTTCTTTATCTAACGACAAATCCTCGTCGCCGGGTCACCAATAACGTTGTTTAGTACACTGTACAGCACTGTGACTAAAATTGGCCAATTGTGCAATCTCCATCATTGTCTAAACCGTTTAATTAAGCTTAAGGCTTTTTTCCAAAAAGCTTTGTTAAGGGCTCCCATGTGTATTCTTCAGGTCGTGGCTTTTCTGCCCGGAAGTAAGAGCCCACTTGCATATTCGCATTTACAGAGGACTTCCGCTGTTTCTTCTATTTTCTGACAATATCCGCACAGGCTTCAAACTGCTCTGAGACAACGTCAGCATTCCTTCTGTCAATCTAGTCTTAGCACACCAAAATTTTAGTAGTTCTACCTTATTCTTAACCCATATGATGGATCTGGGTCATTTATGGGCGTCCTCACCCAACTAAGGCTGATTTAGTCTCTTTTCTTCATTTTATGATAAGACCTCGATGTCATACGTCTCTGGATTACCGAGAAGGAAGTCATATGCCACTGGCGTCTGCAGTGTTCACCCAAACGTCCTACTATTATTCTAGTCCTAACACGTCCAAGGTTTAGTAGTTCTACTGTTTAATTTTGTGATGGTTTTTTGACAAATAAGCCTCTTGGAAGATAATCACTATAAACCGAGGATATTCTTGATCCTTCGTCTGACGGATCTACTTTTTTGGTAATTTTGTATGCCAGAAAACGGTTCATTTATCGGTCTCCTCATTGCCTATCTGCCCTGGTAACCAAATATTTTGTTATTGTCCACACTGTCTGGCCTGGGCCTTGATGCAATCCCAAACTGGTCTGGACTTTACTTTCAATGAGTTATGCTTCAGGAGTGTGCTGTGTCTAGTTAGCAGTCCTACTATCATTCAAATCCTAGGTTCAGTACTTTTGCTGTTAGTTCTTTCTATGGTCTTTATTAATGTTTTTTTCCACATCCCCTCTTGGAATATATTCTCATAGTACCTAGGACTTATTCTTAACCCTGATGAATTTACGTTTTGATATGCTGCAACTAACTATTCTAAAAAATTTTTGAACAATTTCTTAGTTACAGGGGAGAAAAAAAACGAAAATATATTCTACAAGCCCGCTTGAAAATGGGTAGGAAAAACAAATTCCAGGCAAATTTTTTTTTTCACTACAAAAGAAAGTATTAAGTACGACTATAAATCCGCCTTAATAGCAGTGATTTTAGGTTTTTAAAAAGGACTAGGTGATTCGGGAAAGGTTGGAGGAGGATGGAAGGAGAAGAGTGTTTGCCGGCGCATGTTTGCCCCAACTGGAGCTGGCCCCAGGCCAACAGCCCTTCCGCCGCCCCAAACAATCGAAAAGTTATGCAAAACTGAGATAATTCATTACTTCATGTGTTGCGAAGAACGCAAAACGCTTGAATCGCGGTTTAAATAATAATTTCCAGAGCAGCTTTTCAAAAAAAAAAAAAAAAAAGTACAGCGATTTTTCCCCTTTTATCTGCACTAATGTCTGAAGTTTTATGAAACTCCTCTTTAATCTCTGGGTTTTTGTTTCTCCTTCCAAATTCATAAGTGTGAGGGAGTAAATTAAATTAAATGACGTGTAACGTAATCTATAGAAATTTAATTTGACCTCCCTTAGCCTTCACCTTCAGCTTTTAGTAGGATCTTCGTCGTCTTGAAAGGAAACATTTCGAATTTAATCTATATTCAGTTGTTCTAAAATCCGACTTTAAAACCAGCAAGACTGGAAGGATCAAAGACAACCAAGCAAAGTGGAAAGTACAAAGTTTTATAATTCACTCATTTAAGCTGGTGGAGTACTCAAAATTCCATCCGCCGTCTCACACTACGCATTTATTGTAATAATTAAATGCGTCTCAATATACACAAAATGAAGTATCTACAGCCTTGTCCTCTATGAGCACAATTCGCACATGGGGTTCAATTTCTACACGCTCTCTATGTAGAGTCAAGGAACGAGACACTTTATTAAATGGGAATTCTATCACGGACTGCAGTAACCGCACAAATACAAATTGAACTCATCTTCCACATATCGGATGGGCACTCTAACTATATAAACTCAAAGAATGAGACTCTTTAAATATGTGGAAATCTCTTTAACAATCCAAAGGGACCTGTCATGGGCAGTAGAAACTGCGTTTAGGTCACTACCTCAACGTGGCGGATCTTCGGCATATCGAGCGAAATTCCTATACGCCCCCTATATAGAGCTAAGGAACGAGACCTATTAATTAAGTGGGAAATATCTCTGACAAATGTGGGAGGGTTCCGAGCTCCACTACCAAGTGGACCCATCCTCACCTAACACATAAGAGTGACACTTCAAGCAACCTTTCTCTACATGTCAGATACATCGGCGGTCTTTGGTTCAAAAATAAATGTCCGGCTGTAAGTCTAGTACGGCCTATCAGGGGAGAATGATGCCTTTTCTCTGATTCCAGAGTACCACTTATCAACCTTGCTCCTGATGAGTAGGGGTTTCTCTGCTAGTCCTGCTCACCGACACTACCACTTCCAAAAATGTTTTACAACACTCTCAAGGTCAGAGGAATTGCGGTGGTCGGACGTCCCGGTCATTTCATTACTCTCCAGCCGATGTGTCCGGGTACCCAGACAATACCTGCCGAGACTGAGAGTCCACTACCACGAAGTGGATGCAAGCTCGCTATTTTCCGACACGCTCTATATATGGAGCCAAGGACACCCCTCAATTCATTAACACAATCATTTTCTCTACATGACATCCTGTGTTAATTAGCATGGCCTATACTTAGTCGATGAGTATGACACCTTTCGATTTCAGATCTCTACTGGCACACATTTAACCGAACATATTTTCTGCCTTCTCTTCGCTTCTACTCTCTTTCGCCGGTATTTTTTGTTTTTCTTTAGTTTGTTGTTGTATAAATGAAAATATCGATTTTTTATTTTCCCTTGAAGAAAAAAAACTTTAAAGAAGTGTATTTGTCAAGGCTCACCAAGTTTAACATTGAATTTTCAAGAGCGTGGTACCATCAGTACAAGAAAAATGATCTTTTCTTAATCCCCCATTATGGAGAAGGGAGAGAATCACCCCATCCACCGGCCACCCTTTTTCTAAAGTTCAAAGGCGCCAGTCGCCCGAATATCCGTGAAATATCGAAATTCATTCATCAACTGGAAGGTTCCTTGCGATATTTAAAAAAATAGGGGGGGGGGTTATTTTTATTTTGAAAAGTGATAGTGAAAGTGTCAACAGCATTACATCCTTAAAAAACGGTTCAGTTAAACTATAGCAAAGGCGTCAAAGACGAAGAACGATCAATGAAAAGTAGTTTGATTATCACGGATAAAGTTTTAACCCTGGCCGACGTCATGGACGAGGGGAGGAGGGCTGAAATGATCAGATAATTATTCGGATTGCCGGCAATTGGCGGAGGCCTAGCCGAAATTGGTAATAAAAATCAAGGCCCCCGAGTGTTAAGAGCTAATGAAACTTGTCTGAGACCGCAGATATATTGTTCTTCACAACTAATCTTGGAAAAGAGGGGAAAAAGAGATAGAGTCATCAGACAAACAGCTTTTAATACTCTCCCCCGCGCCCTCAGCACTCCTAACTCACTAACCTCCACCCGAAGGGGAGCTCGAGTAAAGCAAATGCTACCAGATCGGCACCAATTGACGCTAATTTTTAACAAACTCGTACTGCTTTAGACAGTAAAAGTCTATTCTGAACTATGTGAATAAATTTAAAATGTTACCAGGAGTCAGCATCTTTCCGAGCTTGCGCCAGTCCACTGTGCAATCTGAGTTCGTTAAACTTGAGGCTTTTTGGGAAAGTAGGGATCTCAGCCGGCATAGGCCTTTGGATCAAGGGCTGTGCTTTAAGATCTAAGTGGCACATTGATCTAGACGGCATTGGCAAGTAAAGATTAGAACTCTATTGTCAGTGATGTTCTAAGTTGTAAAAATTATAAACCTGTCTCTTAACGACCTTCCTCACCGCGAACCATAATAGTCTATTGTGCTATTTACATTATTATTTAGAAATTTTCGTTAAACTTTTTTTATCAGATATCAAAGTTTTGTTAAGGGCTTCAGGTCTCGAATTTTCTTCTCCAATGAGTAGGACGCTCACCCTGCACAGGCCTTGGCTATTCCTAGGTCTTTATAAAAACAAATGTCAATCATATGTTCTAAGATCCAGGTAACATATTGGCACTGGCGAAAAAATAACTGGGAAGGTTATAATTTGATAGTTACTGACCAGTGAATTAAACAGTATTAATTTTATAAATGTGTGTATATTTTTCATTAAAGTGAATAAACGGCATTATTGGTGACCCTGGCGGCTAGAATGTGTCGAAACATCTAGAAGGCAGGTCGATCTAGACATCATCGGTGAAAAACTAACTGGGAACATTATATTTTGTTAGTTAGCGACTTCTGATTTAAATTGCAATAAATTTATTAATGAGTATTAAATGAAGTTATATTTTAATGTGTAATAAACGATCTTATACGTGACCCTGGTGGCTACAATGTATGGATAGATCAAGAAGGCATGTCCATCTAGACATCACCGGTAAAAACAACAACTGGGAAGGTTATAATTTGTTAGTGACCAATTATTTAAATGCCCCATGGTAACTTGTTACAATAATTGGAATTGTTATTATCATGATGGCCGTGAAGTATAGAGATGTAACATCTAATTTACGTATGTAATAGCGTTCTAACTACGTTCTGATAAATTATCAGAATTAAACAGAGAAAAGGTCAAGTCAAATCCTGTCGATTCAGGTTTTAACGTCGTCGGAGAGAAATTTTTTTCAGCCTAACCAAGACTCTTTTAAAGTATAAGGACGCCATTTTAAAAAGACGTAATTAATCAATTATTTCTTACCTTATCGGCTTGCCTTAAACAGTCTATTCTCCTCATTTTTCCTTTTTGGTCAGGGTTGGACAGGACGCACATTGCAGGTTTCTTTCCAGTAATGCTAAGTACAAAGTCTTCTCTACATTCTTGTGTTATGTCTTTGCGAAGCTTACCAAGCAGCCTCGATGCCCACTTTTGTTTTACTTCAGCTTTTTCGTTCTGAAAAAAAAAAAACAAGTTTCAAGTTTTTAAACATAAACAAGTAGAAACTCTATCGAAGAAAGTTTTTATCGAAGGTGGACTTTTTTGTAGGACGGTGAGAAATTGAGCTATCCCCTGTAGCAAAATAGGTGTAAGATCCCAAAGGGCTATTTTATTTATTGCCTACGCCCTCACATAGATCATTTATAATAATTTCCCATCAGTATTGAAGAGGCTGAGTAGGCCCAGGGGAGGGCAGCGGCTCCTTTCCTAATGTCCGCTCTCTGGAATTTTCCACGTGATTTACAAGGAGCCGATAAAGCACAAAAAAGAAATTAATTGAAGTATAAGCGGAATAGGAAACTGCCAAGTTGCGCGCGCATGATAGGATTGAGCCTCTTGCTCAGTTTTCGAGAAAATGCCAATAAAACGCACACGACACATGCAATGGGCGTAAAATTTTCGATAGAAAAAAAAGATTTAAAAAATTCAAAGGTAAATTTTTTTAAAGGAAAAAAGGGAGTCGAAGAAGAAGAGTGAAAGGCGTGCATACCCAGCGAGCAATGCTAACGTGTCATGTGGGTTAGCATAATTTTGCCTCCTAGCGATTTGACTCCTAAAATCGGCTTTTAACATTTCTAAGGAACCTTATTGTCAGACTCTTAAATACCACGGATCAACTTTCAATTATCGGATTTCATATTTGCCTTGGACAATGTCTCCATTTTTCCGACAAAGACTGTGACTGAACACTGCGCTAAGGAGGTCAAAAGGCCGGGTTTTGCGGAGAAATCTCGAACAAACAGACATCATAGGCATCTGCTTTATCGGTAGTAAGGTTCAGAGCATAATGGGATTGTATGGTATTTGTATTGCAGTGTTTACGCCAACTGTACATACGTAAATAGATTGTACTTTTAATCACAAGCAGCTGTTTTTCCATTGATCTCCTCCGCTTACGCGAGCCAATCTCACTTCTCATGGAATTCTCTTACGATCCACTCACTCCTCCTATTCTCTCCGGAGTTTTCGGTATTTAAAGTTGTGCCAGTGATTTAACTGTTTTTTTGGTTCAACCCGAAATTAATACTACCAAGAAAATTAGCCGAAGCTGTACACCGGAGACTACGACGGACTCGGGCCCGAAGTTGCGTCGCTGCTGTGAATTCGACAGGTTTCATTCAGCAAGGTGAGTTTCTAGGCATTATTTTCGGGTGAAAGGTTTTCTTTAGTGTTATTTCATTTAATTTGAAACATTGGCATTTTATATCCCAGTTCCATTTTAAACGTTATTATAATCCAATTCACTAGTTTTCGTGGTCCGCTTGCCCAATTAATATCTTTCAATTAATTAAGGTTTGTAGTTGAGATAAAAAGTCAGTGTGACGAGCGGGATTCGAACCCACGACCTTCAGCCAGATACGCCGCTTCTCTACCACTTGAGCTATCATGACTTCGATCCACTCGGACACTATCTTCCCATCTCAACCCCACCTTTTGAATTTTCCCTCCTTTTTGCCATTTTTCAAATGTCTTGTAATCTATTTGATTCTCGGCGACAAATGAAATGGCGAAGGTCGTGGGATCGAATCCCGCTCGTCACACTGACTTTTTTTATCTCAACTAAAAACCTTAATTAATTGAAAGTTATTATAATCGTTGCAAAGCTTTTATTTTTTAAAGTTTTTAAAAGGATATTTTTGTGTTATTATAATTGAGAAAAGTAAAGATAAAATCCTACTCTCATTTAGGGGATATTTTTGTGATTTTCGACAAAAGACGACGAAAAATTAGATAGAAAAAATTTTTGATTTTACTCAAAATTTGTATTCAGAGTTATTTTGAAGTATCAAATACTAATATTAACTTTGTTTTTTGATGCAAAAATATTGCAACCTACTTTTCGACATCGCACCTTCATTGTTTTGTCAAAATTGTATTTAGACGCCTTCCGTTGACCAAGTCAAAAATTCATAACTTCTCTGGATTACATCCTAATTCGACACTAATACAATCATTGGAAAGCTGCAAATTGCTTCTTTCAACCTTTGTAAACAATGTTTAGATTGTATGGCAGTATATATGAGAAAAAGCTCTTAGCAAAGTAAGTCAATAAAAGTTGTTTTCGAATAAAATAATGCGCATTCGTTTAGAGCATGTTTTAGAGCCTCTAATACAAGGAAACCAAAAATAATTATTTTTTAGTACAATTGGCGAAGGGGGCGCATTTTTTAACGGTTACGATGTCCGTTCTTCCAGTTCAAAAATTCATAATCCCTCTGGATTTTAACCAAATTCAACGTTATTACAACATTCATTTCAATCAAGATCTTACATAAAAAAGAATAATTAATTGAAAGAAGTTATTACAACAGTTGGATAGCTGAATTTTTCTCATTTAAGCTCGTATGAATAATGTTTAGATTTTACGCCAGTATAACCGAGAAAAATACGGATGAAATCAAGAAAAACCGCTCGAACGTTTCATTTTATATATCCGGTTCTAATTATTTTATGTGGACCAAATCTATGCCACTTCGTGTAGTTGATGAGGCTCTAAGTCCTTGTGAAGTATCCCGTTGATATATAGAGTTGTTTCAACGTTATGGCAGATTTTATAAGTTTCTAAAAAATTCTAAGTTATTAGGAATGGAACTCGAGATTAATTTTTCAATTTTTTCGAAAATCCCTGTTCAGGGGTTTTATGGAGTGGGAAAAATGAATATCAGCTTTGTATTTTTGTTAGAAAAATATTTGAACCTATTTTGCTAAATTGCTAGACTATGTCAACATTGTATTTGACATCTGTACTATTGTATTACATAATTGATGATTAAATTTATTGCATATTATTTTCTTAGCCCCGGTAAAAATGTCTACTGATACACAATGTATTTGAAACAAGTAAACAATTTTTTCTCGGCTTCTACGGCCTATTGGCTGGAACGGTTTGACAGGAGTCTTAACATTTTTCGACCTAGTATCACTAAAAAAAAAATTTAATCCTAAGTTCTTATCCTTTATGGCCAAACGTTGAACACTAAATTTAGCCCATTTGCTACAGTTTAGCTTATCTCATGAGTTAGGAGCAGTGTTATTCCTTCAATGTTACATTCCGTGTATTGGAAACTGATTTTTTTGGCGCCATTGAAAATCATTATCTTGGAATCTTCTTTTTCCTGGCTCTTTAATCCACCAATGGATCTTGAATAGACTGTTATATTTGCCTAATATAAAAGTTTGCATATCCAGTTTATAATTTAACATCGTTTTGCTCCGAAGTTGTTTCGGAAGAATAACAACTTTAACAAATTTATTTAAGGTTACCCGGAAATTCCGTGAATTTAGCGCGAAAGCAGTGTTGTTCCTGCTCTGTTTCTGTGTATTGGCCACACTGATTTATTTGGCACCCATCTAAACACTCTCTCATTATACTTACCGGATTTCCCACTTCTTTTAACCAAATTGCTAATGTTTATCTTGCTCTAAAACAATTTAAAACCACATCAATCTACGGGAATTCTTCCAATAAGCCGATCTGAACATTCAGAGGAAAAACACGCGCACAATTTTGTCAAAAGGAAATAACCGAAGTCAAAACAAAAAACCCCTGCCTTGGTTATTAAAGATGGATATGGAAACGGGCCTGAATGTAAACACAGTGTGTTTATTTGATTAAGGTCGGAGGGGGTCCGCCGGGTCAACCGTCCGTTGGCTCAGTCCTACTCCTATTCAGCATTTTTCACGGGCGAATTACTCCGTGAATTCATGGCCCCCCTATCTACCTCCTTACCTTGCACTTACACACCCCCAGCATACATATATTACGGCCCTCGCGCTGAGAAATATCCTTATTTATGGACAACCGAGGTTGTTCTTCACCAAATAAATAACTAAATAAAGCGATTGTCACAAAATTAAGATAAGTCTTTTGTGAAACGGTTTATTTGACTGTTTATTCTATCGGTTTGGTTAAATACAGACATATACAGGGTAGCAATTTAATAGTATCACTCATGGTTATTCTGAAACATTGTAATACTCGCAGTTTAATTTAAACATTAAAATCTGAGTTAATTAAAGTTACTTGAGTAACTTTATCCCCAAATGACCTAAATGAGTACTTAAAGCAAATGATGAAAGAACACTGGCTAACTTGTACGTTGAAGTTGTTTTTGTATGCTTAATATATTTGTTCGACACGGGGAGAGCTTTTGTCGCTATGGTCTAAGATTGCCAACATCAAAAAGCATTTAACACAAATAATTTTTTCTTAGACAAAGAGTTTTTCGTTAAAAATATGATGTAATAAATGTCTTTATTATTTTAATGCCAAAAGAAGTACGTAAAGCACGAACGAAGACTGGCCAACCTGTGATTGACGTCGTTGGATTGCATCGGTTCGGCACGAGGAGCGCTTCTGTCGCTTTAAACCAAGATTGCCAACATAGTTATTATACTTTGATCAAAAAACAGATCAAACACGAAGAAGTTTTTTTTATCGAACGAGTTTAAGTTTTTTGACCAAAAAGCTCAAGTAAAAATGCTCTTGGTTAAAAAGTATTATGTTGGCCAGAGGAAGATCTGCAATACTACATATAGGCCTTGAACCTATTCGTGGGATACAATAAAATAAAAAAACAATCCTCCATCACAGAATGGAACCAAAAAATGTAAAAGAAGAAGTGTATAAATTTTAGGGGTCCTAGGACACAGTAAGCTTATGCTAAAACAACCCTCATCAAGACTAACTCTACTAAGGAGGCATACACTCAGAGGAGTGATTCGATTATAATATATACCGGTCAGTGTCATCTGAGCAAACACCTATACAAAATTTTCATATTCAATGATGACCCTATTTATCGGTTTCGCAATTAGGAAGAAGAAACAGCCACCCATGGCATAATCGAACCGCTCAACGGAAAATTAACCTAGGATACAAAGAAATCCCAGGGAAAGGAATTGTTCCAACGACTGTCAATGATCTATAGTACTTCTTAAGAGAAGGATCAAGT